AAGACACTGATATCCTAGCCATCAGCCTGACTGACTTGCAGTGTTTGGATAACCGTAAAGTCAGCCATTTCGACTCTACGACCGGAGGAGCAGGGTTTGAGAATCGTGTAGTCGCGTCCTGAGTGGGCCACGTCGGTAATTTAGGGGCGTTGAGTCACCCAGGGCACGGTGCTAGGATTGTGATGAGTTACGTGCAACAGATAGGTAGCGGCTGAGGAATGTACCTGCCTGTCCTTCCTGGATATCTTCCCAGTCTCCTCGGAGTGTCTAGCAGCGAAGGGACTATAATATGGCAAGTTTCCGGAATCTGAGGTTGTAATACTGGGGGGGGAAAACGGACAATCCGTCCTCAAATAATCCACGGATCGATTTGTTTGCTTCCCCTTGTAGCTAGTGTTACGCCGAGGCTTTATTACTGCTCAGACATTAGCTAGAACGACGAATGAGCAGGATTTGACGGCGCTCACCTGTGTATGGGGTTTATTAGCCCTAAGTCCTTCGTGTTCTTCTCTTAAAGCGATACCCTCGTAAATTATCCATTCATAACCGTAAGCTGGCCGTTAGATTGGGTACTGTCGTCCAGCCCGGGTTGAGATATGGCATCTAGAAGGTTCATGAGCCAAACGGTCACGAAGACATCGAATCAGGCATTTTGTAAGCATACCCCATGTTATCGAAGAATGTTTTGAGCAGAATAGACGGTTATGAAGCTAGCCGCGCGCGGATGATGGTGGTCAAAAGGCAAGGGACGTTGTCACGCCCGCAGTCACACTCGTGACAAAGTACCACCATGGCGGAACCAGGAGACCTCGACTGCAGACTGCCCTCTGAGCTGGTCGAGCTCGTTTTCATCGACTGTGATCACAACTCTCTGCTCTCTTGCTCTCTCGTATGTCACTCCTGGCTTCCTATCTGTCGCGCACGGTTATTCGAACGGTTCGAAATTGATATCAACACCCGCCCCAGCCGATATATCGATCTCGCTTCCCTTCTACAGTCGAAGGACGCTACAATTCCTCAATTCGTTCGACAAATTGTCTTTGTGCTTCCCCCGAGTCTACTCGGATATGCAACGTACTCAAGGGATGGCAGAGAGAGCGCAATGGCCTATGCCGACGTCGTCAAGGAGTTATTGATGAGCCTGAAGGATCGCACCCCATTGATCAGAAAGCTAACCGTCACTTATGATGGCACTGGAGTACTCTCTTACCCCGGAGACCTCTCCACACTGTTTTCCTCCACCTTTCGTCATATCACCCACCTGCAATTGTTCCTATTTCAAGAGGAGCACCTACCCCTGACTCAATTCATTTGTTCGTTCCCTTGTTTGGAGAATTTGAAGATGCACAGCGGTTGTAGGGACGTGGACGAGGACGATATTTGGATGGAAACGAACGTCAAGAATCACATTCTTCCTCCATCCCTGCAAACACTGCAACTGGGAGGGGCAGACGATTCTGTGGATACGGAGGGCCTGCCTCGTTACTATCAGTGGCTTCAGTCCACCGGAATACCTCCCAGCCTCTCGAGTCTCTCCGTTCACAGACTGCAGGTTGAGATAGTTTCCGGCTCAGGCGAGGTAATCCTTGATCCGGATATCAAACCGTACTTCCTTCGATGCTCGGACCTGCGGTTTCTGCATCTAGGATTTGACACAGGATATCTCAATATTCCCGTCGGAATAGGTATGCTTGAACGTTCTTGTCTTTTCTCCTATCTTATTGTATACCCAGAGCGAGGAGCAGCTTTTCCAGCATTCTGCGATCTATCTATCCCCAAGAACCTGGAACGCCTCGTCATCAGCATTCGTAACATTGTCCAAGACGAGCTCGATGAGCTGCTGCTCAACATAATCCGAAACGCGCTCAACACACTCGCTTCACCTAAACTCCAACACATCGCTTTCAACGTGAATGGAAGTGGCTTCAAAGTCCTCTCAGACCAATGGGACGCACTTGACTCCCTACTTGCCGCCCCGAAATTCGCAACTGCCCAAGTTGAACTCGTCATTCCGTTCTCGGATTCAACCCTCGCGAATGAAGACGACCTCGTACCAGCCAGAAAGCTCTTTCAGAGATGCAGCTCACAAGGGCGGTTATCGGTTATTCGAGCACCATTTGTCGTGAAAACCCGAACTTGGATGGAAGATCCTGATGAAGAGAAACAGTTTGAGGGTCATGATGCGATTGACTGGGTATGTCGACGTTTCTCAGCGTGACAACGACATCTGTGGTGAGTCCTTATGTGCTTATCTACTATCTCATAAGTTATCAATGCTTTGCCTCGGAGTAGGTAAGCCACCTTCGATTGGGTGCTCAGGTTCAGGGAGATAAAAATGGCGAAGGAAGTCCATGGTTTGAGGTTTGAGGTCTTGAAGAATTAACGATGGATATGACAAGTTTTTCGTGTCTAGTCTATCTGAATGATACTCACTACTGTGATTTTCCTCTGCATCACATCCTCAGAAGAGTTTTCAGTATACCCGGGGAAGAGCGAGGGATCCCTCGCTTGCTCACACCGAACTCTGAATTCCCCTAATTACATCCTGAGATCCCACGCAAAAAGCGTAGTCGCGGCGCGAGAAACCTGCCCTGCCGTACTCACTCACGTGCTGGGAATAGGAAAACTGTGTGACTGAGAACGCGCGTGTTGATTTCGAACCACCATCACTAATCCAAAAATCCAAGATACTCACAACAAAGAGGCAAGTAAAGGACTATTCGATCTCGGTTCAATCAATCTTTTACTGACTGAGAATCCAGATGCCTCCTCCCTCAAGTCATATTTCTGAATATCGTACGATGTGCGTTTCACGCTTTCCAAACCCACTGAGAGCCATCGAATATCTCCGAAAAAATGGGGCTCCATCGTCCACTACAATCGATATTTTCAATCCAGGTAGTCGTATCGAAGCGGCCTGCCAGTCAATCGTGTCTCTATCCTTCCATTTGATCGGGCGTGCAAACACTACTGCGTCCCAGATTTGGTCACATTGGGAGCCTTCCGTCGCCAAGTGGATAGCGGTTTTCCTTCGGATGGTGCTTACATCCGTACATGTTCCCCGAGAGGAGGCAGATAACACCATCTTGATTCACATCGTTGATGTCATACCCAGTATTTTGGACGCCGAAGACAAGGCAACTTCCGCCACGGTAGCAATCAAAAAAGGTGCTGCACCATATCTACAGCCTCTCGTCGCTCAAGTATGGCTCTTCTTGGTGGACACGGAATATCCTCTCATTGAACCATGGTCAACCTTGCTCATCCACCTTACCGAATATACACGCGACCTTCCTTCATCCACATCATCTGCATTACAGGCACCTCCGCATGCTCGCAGGTTTTCCAAAATCCCCCATCCATATCCAATTGACGCGAAGCTTGGGAAACGACTACTTGTCCAGCTTCAGCTCAAGATTCGTCGTTTTATCAAGGGCAAAGACCTCGGAGTCGACGGCTTTAAAAAGTTTCTCATGGTCCTCGTCGTAGGTAAACAATGCTTCCAAGGGACGAATCCTATCTGTATGGGCGAAGAAAACCACAACGAGGCTTTGCGTTTGATGGGCCGCGTCTTAGTCATTATTCTTCGTAAAGCGAGTTGGCTTCACGAACAGCCAATTAAAAGCACTCAAGTAAACAATGCGTATCACATTGCCACCTGCCTTTTGAACATATTCAGGCAGGATCTCCAGATCGACAAACCATCCCGGATACAATCACTTGTTGAATCGGGGATCGTAACTTCGTTGTATTACACCGCTGACTGCTACTACGCCCTGGGAGTGGCCAATGCCGATGACGAAACGGGAGGGTTTATCGAGGCGGCTGCGAGTCTCCTTGACCAAATTGCCACCTTTCTGATCCATCATCGCGTGTTGCGAGCGTTCCTTCGTGACATTCATCGATTTCGGAGGACAGCGTTGGATGAGTTCTCACCCGGTATCAAGCAGTCGAAGGTTTTAAGGCATGCTTGGTGCAATATTCTTGGGAAAGCGGACGAGCTCCACATGCTCCGTAGAACTTAGGGTTATATACGGCGATTGGAAGCCTCCAGGGGTCCAGGGGTCCGACCTCTAGGGCGGTAGAGGTCACCCCTACTGCCCTAGAGGTCGCCCACTGGACCACTGGGTAGTAGAGACAATAGTAGCACGCCGCGAGAGCGTATGTGAGGATACACACCTGAGGAGGGACAGTACCCAGCCCATCTATAATCTACTGCCGTCGGTGAAACGATCCCGATAAATGTCAGGATTGGACCCGAGCAGTATAATTCATTGAGTCCCGATGAACAACGTAGTTGATTCTACACGGTCGCGGCTGTGGATTACAGCCGTGCCTGTAGTGAGTCCTCTCCAGCACTCACCCCACAGGATTCTTTACTCCATAGTATCAATGAAACCATGTCTGAACAAGCCGCCGTGGTGTAATGGTTACACGCCGTGGCCATATACGCGGGAGAGGTATAGCTTCACTTACGGAGTTCTGGGTTCGAGACCCAGCGGTGGCTCGATTGATTTTTCTTGTTGGTTCTTAACGTTCAGAAATCATAATATATTGAATAATGCTACGCTGTGTCTGTGTGAGGGACAAGACTACGGGGCGTAGTCAAGCCCGTCTATAATCTACAGCCGTGGGGAACGCGATCCCGATAGCCCCGCCACTGGGCAGTAGAGACATAGTAACACGCTGTAAAATTATGGAAACGCCGTAAAACTTTGATACGCCGTGAAGTTGTAGGTAAGGATACACACACCTGAGGAGGGACAGTGCTCACCCCGTCTATAATCTACTGCCGTCGGTGAAACGATCCCGATAACTGTCGGAATCGGACCCGAGCAGCAGAGTTTGTCGGATCTCACTAGCGGAAACCCGATGAACGGTGTTGTAGGCTCTACATAGTTGCGGCAGTAGATTACTGCCGCACCCGTGGTGAGTCCTCCCCAGCACTCACACCACAGGATTTTTTAGTCCAAAGGATTGACCAAACCCAGTCTGAACAAGCCCCCGTGGTGTAATGGTTACACGCCGTGGCCATATCTGAGGGAGGTATAGTTATACCTACGGAGTTCTGGGTTCGAAACCCAGCGGTGGCTCATTTCTTTGATTTTCTTCTTGGTTTTTAACATTCAGATATGATTTTATACTGAATACTAGATTCTGTGTGTGTTAGGGACAAGACTGCGGGGCGTAGTCAAGCCCGTCTATTATTCACAGCCGCATGCTAGACAGCCCCGAGACCTGGTTCCGAATTTCGGAGTTCATCGGGTCTCGCTAGCAGGGACCCGATGAACGGCCTTTTCGGAGCTGATAGGCTCTACATGGGTTAGGGGTTAGGGGTTAGGGGTTAGGGGTTAGGGGTTAGGGGTTAGGGGTTAGGGGTTAGGGGTTAGGGGTTAGGGGTTAGGGGTTAGGGGTTAGGGGTTAGGGGTTAGGGGTTAGGGGTTAGGGGTTAGGGGTTAGGGGTTAGGGGTTAGGGGTTAGGGGTTAGGGGT